AGTTGATTCCAGGAATTGAGAGGAGCTTATTAGAAACTCGACAACGAAAAGCGCTCAGATAACAATCACTTCACCCGAGTCCCCCCCCCCTCCAACTCGTCTCCAGTGTTGCTGCTCACTAACCGAGCACTATCTCCTTCGTATCCCTGTATATGGGGACAGTCTTTGATGATCCCGGTAAACCGCTTCATCACTACTATTCCTCCTTCGTGCCAATCGCACCCCCCTCCCCCACTCCCATCACTTTATCCGCTGAGTGGAACAATTTCCTAGGGAAAGTGTGAAATGGCGCCATTCAGTCTACTACCGCAAAATGTCAAAATTCTCTCCTTCTGCTGAATTAGCGCCCAGAGGGGCCACAATCGATATGAACGTGTGTACGGCGCAGTTCCGCTTGGTGGGACATCGGATGGTACTCAGGAAGGCTTGCACAGGGCTTGTAAGCATGTAAAGCCTTGTACAGGCGCAAATTCCTGAACGCTAAGCCGTTCCAGGTACCATTCCGCAGCTCCAAAAGAATTTACAAGTCTCACCCAAGCGAAATGATAAGTAAGTTAGAACAAAGCTGAGCTAGGAGATTTCAAAACATACCGCTGTCGTGGGAATAGGATATCCGTATTCCAGTGTGGTCGAATAGACCGAGGCGATCTTATCACGCTGAATCATGCTCTTGATAACCAGACCGTCAATTGCTTGTTTCACGATCTCCTCTCCCTGCAACCAGAAACAATGACACTCTTAGGACTCCTCGACAGTACACCAACGTAAATCATAAGCTATCTCCAAAATTGCGAAACCTTTCGAGTCTAAAGAGTGGACACTCGAGGAGCTTTTTCCTAACCCTCTAGTGCCCAAAAACGCATTAAAAATTCGGGAGTAAGTAAGTGAAAGGGGCTGCACATTGAAAGGCATATTGTAGAATGACAGGGTGTAAATAGTGTGAAATGAAAATGATGCTGTGGGTGCGACAGGTTCCTTTCGTGATGAAAAGGTATCTGGCCCTGTTGAACACTTACTTTCCCGAAGTTTGTTTTATTGCTGTAACATGGACTATAGGGAGTATTTGGTGCCTCAATCACAACATGGCTGTGCCTTTTTCACACAAACCAACATCAACCTAAACATCGAGGTTGCTTGACATCTTGACTACGACAGTGGCAGTGGCAGGTCTGTATAGGCGCCAGAATGGTGCTTGGCTACGAATATGGTGCACATCTTTGGAGTACAATCTCTGAGATGCGGTAGGCGTGACTGCGTACTTGAATTGGACGTGACGCCGGCTGTGGTTTTCGCTAGATATTTTCATACTGGGACAGTTATTATCATGTCTTTGTCTAACACACAACTCGATGACAGTTGCCTGGAATTGAGATATCTTACGAGTAGCTCATTCTATGTCATGTTCAAATGCGACGCCCACTCCGTCTAAGGCAGCGTTCAGACTTCACGACAGCAGCGCTTCGATTCGACGCGATCGATGCAGTCGAAAGCATGCGCATCGATCGCGTCGAACGCGCGACCGAAGCGCTGCCGTCGCGAAGTCTGAACGCTGCTTAAGGAGTGTGGGAGGTGCATTCGCGAGTGGCACGCTTACCACGCGCACAGCCCCATGATTACGGCCCGCCTAGGCCAACCAAGCCTTCTACCCTCCGGGGACGGTAAATTGGTACCAGATTCGTCTGGGAGGATAAAACACTGACTTGTACATCGGCTGGACCCGCAAGTCATTGTATACGCCACATCGCATTCAGTGAGCCGCTACGATTCTAAATAGAAGCGGAATGCGTCTCAAAAAGGGATTGACTAGGGGCGAGTACTTTAACCATTTTATCTTTAGAGCAGGGCCTATGCGCCAGGATGGTGCCTATTTTGAACCTTCACTTTTTTACACAAACTAATACAGATTGGCATGCTAGGGTCATTTGTCATCCTGATTGCAAACATAGCATTCATTTTTTGCTTCAGTTCCGTTGGTTGGATAGGACAGTGCGCTGTTCTGTCACTTTCATTGTATGCTCTCCCTTGAAATCGCCGTAATCTCGCATTATGAACATTGATCGGCCGCTGTAACCTCGGATAACCTCTTGGCGCCAGCGCTGGCACTTGGCTGAGGCTGAGACGAGAGTAGGAGTGATCCCTCGCCCTCAGGCTCAGCCGTAGCACAGCGCAGACAACCGCGGTGCCCTACGCCAGCGCCAGCGCTGGAAGCGAATGTTCCACTCGTAATCAGGACATTAAGGGCAGTTGGCATGATAAGTCCCTAAGAATTGGGGGATCAACTACGCTTGTAAGGCTCGCCCTGAGCATGGCGCTCCGTAGCGCGTCTTCCAAGAAAGGTATCCTTATAAATCCCCTATCAAGCTGCGGCGTCCGACCTGGACACCGGCGACCGCCCGCCCAACAAATGGACGAACCGTACCTGATGCTCGCATGCTATCATTCGTAAAGAAGAATATGAAAGGAAGGGATTGACATGAAGCAGCCGGCAGTGCTACATAAGTTGAATAGAAGGCTTTTCTTCGCAGGTTTTTGACCGCCTCACTTCGTTTTTCGCCATTTTCCCCACTATACGGCACCCTGCTAGCATTTCAGAGCGAGTACCAAATTATCGTGCCATATGCCTTTGAATAAATCCAGTATACTAGATCTACTCAGGTAGATAGGGTAATGGCTGCAAATGGAGCCAGAAAAATTGTAATACCTCAACGAGAGCCTGAGCAACCACTGTAGGCCAAGGTTCAAAGGAAAATTTCTGAGATTTAGGGGTTCCACACAGCTGATCATGGAAAGTTCCTTGGTGATGGCTGAGTTTGCACCAGCGTTTGCATTCAGCTTTCATAACGTTTATGTAGAAAGGTTTCGTATAGATCTAGTCGTCGTTCACTTACGGGATCATCGATGGGCCGAGCGCATTCACACATCACCGACCAAAACTTGTTGCTATCCGGTGTCACCTGCAATTATGTTATGAACTCTGGAATCAATACACCAACTGACATCTGACTCGCGTCAGTATAGCGGTGATTATAGAATAAAGGGTGTACGGTAGAAAATGATTACAGATGATTGTTGCTGCAACGAGTGACTAACCTCTCCATATCGACTGAGTATCGTAACACGGAAAAAGGGGACGTTTGGATCTGGGAAGTATAGCCAAGTGAACTTCTCGAGGAATTCTGTCATCGGCTTTTCCATTCCAACCCCAACGATGAAAACCTTAGATAGTTACTTATGAGTGGTTCCTTACTTTGACACTTATATAGCAAACTTCAAGAAATATTTCATCGTAACGTTGTGCCGATGGTAAAGAGATCGCTTTTGATATTCCAACATTTTCTTGCCCGCATTTACAGTCTTGTTCGCTGCGGACGCTGGAACGTTCCAGGGGTTGGATAAAAACAGTCCCGCGCTCAAGCAATTCGTGGTCGTTCTCCCTTATGCAAGAAGTCCAGAACCCAGGCTGAGAGACTGTCCCACTTCCGCGACTCCCCAGCGAGTGAGGAGGGTATTACAGCTGCCGAAAGTTCTAACTCCCCCTCAGTTGGATCTTGGACGGCCCACCCAACGAATATGCTCCCCCACCTGACGCAGGGTCGCTTAGTTGTTGCCTGTTGGGACGGCGGGTACAAAATGCCTGACCCTGACTTAGTTGTTGCCTGTTGGGACGGCGGGTACAAATCCGAATCGAGTGTCTATTTTTGCCGACCGCGCTCGTGCTGATAAGCAATTTAACAGAAATGTATCTCGCAAGGTTAGGCTTGTTCAAATCACCGATGATGCATTTTTTTGGTGTAAAAGTACGACGTACGCTGCTACCGTAACCCTAAAGTCGTACTCTAGCTTTCAAAGTTTCTTTTGTTACGAGTTCTGTGTCAGTGTTGTTGTTTTTCTTTTTCTTTTTACTGCATTTGATTATATAGGTTGGAAGGAAAGTCTTGTCACTGTTGTGACTTTTTTCTTTTTTATTTTCTAACTCAACATACAGTGGGAATTAGTCAACAATATACTCGTCATAGTTAGCCACTACAGTGCTCCACCTAATGGACTGGTAAGCACTCCCCTCCTCCCAGAACCGAGGAGGCTGCGAGTAGAGTAAGTCAGCGGCCTCTCGACTGATGGTAGGTAGCAGTCCTTGGGGACTACGTCTGGAGAATATGATAAGCGGGGACTGGTCTCCCAGCCTTGCTCCTCAATTATTTGGTAGGTCTCCATAGCAGGTATGGGGTCTCGCGTAGTGCCCCGAAGCTAGTCTCGGTCATTTTTCTCCAACAATTTCCACCGGTTTCAGGAGCTGAGCGGCACAAATGGTAGCGATGACCGTGTGTTCTCATATGGGCAGCTTGTTGTGCAGCATTCCCCTCGCGTCCCAGAAGCAGTAAAGAAGAACCTTCTCGGAATCATGCCCGGTTTGGACTGCTAGGATGGGTCTTCTCCTTGAGAGAGACACACGGTACTGTGTGGGTTGA